ATAACTCCCTGCCCAGTGTCTGGAAAAAGTCCGGCCGAGCTCATGATGGGCCGACAACTATGAACTGACCTGGGCAGGCTGCACCAAATGTGCACGACAGAGACGCCGCAAGAGGGAATGACTCAGAACTTTTTACCTGGGGATTAGGTGTTTGCTAGAAATTGCACAGGTGACCCAAAATGGGTACCAGGTAAAATCACAGAGGTAACTGGGCCCTGTTCTTATAGGGTCCGATTAAATGATGGATGGATGTGGCAGTGCCACATAGATCAGCTGTGGCACTGCAACCAGTCAAAAGCCGATGAAGCCACTCAACCACCTCCATTACCACAACAAGTTTAAGTTCTTACCGACAATGAAGCCATTCAACCAACCCCATTGCAATACCAAGTTCAAAGACCTACTACCACCTACCGGCTATAAAACACTGCTTCAGAGGAACCACCGTCTCTACCTCCTGAAGTGTTCTTGGCAAGAGACCTACCTGTATAGTCCAGACGGCCTACAAGTGGGAGGTTTCCAGCTGATGATGTCACAATGGGTCCCACAGCAGAGGAGGAGCCTGGACATGTTTCTTCACCAGCACCAGCCCTGGAACTGAGGTGTTCTGTGCAGAGCCGCCACTGGCCTGCCTACTTACAAGACTACGCTTGCGTGGTCTAGGAGGAAGGGGTGTTAAGTCCTTGCGGTTATGATTGCTAGGTGTCAGTCAAGGATAGAAGCAACCCTATTGGTTCTGATGTGGCAGCCAGCCAGCAGGAGAATTGCAGACTTCTGATTGATTATTCCTCTGACAGCTCGGGAACAAAAAGCTGTCAGAGAAACTGCTTGTTATATTAGTTCCTGATTGTATTAATAAAGATCATTGGGCTCAAATTGCCTCCGATCTCCTAAGCAACTCAGAACTAAATAGTTAGTGTGGAACAGGTAAGAAGTATCTGCTCCAGGGGATATTCTGGATATCTGTTCAGTCATGTCCAATTCTGAAGACAACTCCCTGCAATTTTCTTGGCAAATTTTCAGCATTATTTTATTCAATCTTTGGTTTGCTTTAGTTATCCTTTAAAGCAGGGGTGTTAAACTCCAAGCCCATGGGCCAGATGTGTCACATGCTGGCCATACCCACACCCAGTGTAGTTAAAGGGGTGTGTGTGTGATATGTCACGTGATGATGTGACAACATGAATTTGACACCCCTGCTTTAAAATGTTCTCTTCTCCTTGTTTCTCATGTCAGCTGAAAGACTTTTCTAAGCTACAATATTCTCTGTGGATGCCACCTTAATTTTGTCATTCTGAGTCTCTCCCTTGTCTTCACTATGGCAACCTTCATCTCTTGGTTCCTGAGGCTGTATATCAAAGGATTGAGAAAGGGGATTGCCACAGTATACATAACTGAAACAATGTTATGTTCCAAGAAGAAACTAGAGCTGGTCCTAGCAGGTTCTGACAGGTTTTGGAGAACTGATAGCAGAAATTTTGAGTAGTTTGGAGAACTGGCAAATGCCACCTCTGGCTGGCCCCAGAATGGGGTGGGAATGGAGATTTTGCAGTATCCTTCCCCTGCCTGGCCCATCAAGCCACACCCACAAAACTAGAATTAAAAAAAAATGAATTTCACCACTGGCTGTGTCACAAATACATAAAGAGAAGGGTTTCATACAGTGAAATTCATTTTTTTTTACTACCGGTTCTATGGGCATGGCTTGATGGGCATGGTGTGGTTTGGTGGGTATTGCTTGGTGAGCATGTCAGGGGAAGGATACTGCAAAATCTCGATTCCCACGTCACTCTGGGGCCAGTGAGAGGTGGCATTTGCCGGTTCTCTGAACTACTCAAAATTTCTGCTACTGGTTCTCCAGAACCTGTCAGAACCTGCTGGTTCCATAGAAAAAACTAATAGTGGCCAGATGCATATGAGGATGGTAGATGAGATGTAACAGTAAGAGAGGAGAATTATGAATGTAGTGGTAAGAGCCGAGGTGGCGCAGTGGTTAGAGTGCTGTACTGCAGCCACTTCAGCTGACTGTTATCTGCAGTTCGGCGATTCAAATCTCACCGGCTCAGGATTGACTCAGCCTTCCATCCTTCCAAGGTGGGTAAAATGAGGACCCAGACTGTAGGGGCAATATGCTGACTCTGTAAACTGCTTAGAGAGGGCTGAAAGCCCTATGAAGCGGTATATAAATCTTATTCCTATTGCTATTGCTAAATCCAACAAAAACAAAAACAAAAACAAAAACAAGGATTCGATTGAGATGGATATCAGATCAGGCCAGTTTGATTATCAATTGGAGTCATCAATTGATATTTTTAAGGTAAAACTGTTGGATTTAGAAACCCGCATGCATAGGATTCCAATACCAGTCAGTCACATAGTCTATGAGACATGATGACAGTATACAGCAAGGTATTACAAACAGCTACATAGCAATTGTATGCCACAGCACCTATGAGATAAGATTCTGTGGTTGTGGAAACAGCATAAAAATATAACTGGGTCATACATCTGGAATACAAAATGGTTTTTCTCGGCGATAAGAAATCCACTAATAGCTTGGGGATGATGATGAAGGCATAGCACATGTCAAGGAAGGACAAATTGCAGAGAAAGAAGTACATTGGGGTCTGAAGATGAGAATCAATCCTTTGTATTACAATAAGTCCAGTATTTGCCACCAGAATGATAACATAAACCAGAAGGAATATAATGAATAAAATCAGGGATGGTATTCACTTACCTTCACTAAGGGTTCGCAAATGTGAACCTTCTGTGCATGCGCCTTGGATAAAAAGGGGCCTAAATGGGATGTCATAGAGCCAGGGCGGGTGGGCGGAGCTACCTGCAATTTTCGTTCCTGGTTCAGGTGAAACAGTCCGAACCGGCAGTATACCACCTCTGAATAGGATGATCTGTAGCTCTAATTGATCAGTAAATCCCACAAGAACGAATTCATCCAATGTGGTACAGTTGTTGCCATCCATATATTGTGAGTTCAGTATTCTGGGTCTTAAGAAGAAATTAGAGTAACTGGGTGGCTTTTGTTAGGGCAAAGAGATTTAAATTGTAAATGTTATTGCATACTGGATGTGACAAATGCACAATTAAACATAACACACTAAAAGATGTCATTAATGTGATTTTGTGTGTGTGTGTTTATAATATTTATATATATTTATAAATAGTTAAAATGAGGTGGCAAACAGACCAAATACTTCTGCCTCCTATTTTCCCCACCAGAACAACCCTGTGAAGTGTGTTGGGCTGAGAGAGGTCACTCAGCTGGCTTTTATGATGAAGGGAGTCCAGAACTCTTAATCTTTTGGCTTCCATATCCCCTGAATTTAAGAGGCATTAAAAATGCTATAGTTGTTTTGAAACCCTCCCCACTAGTGTTTGTGGTTGCCCCAACCAATAAAATGAAATACAATGAAAATATGCTGTGATACCTTTCAGGGAACAGCATCTAGTTGACCATATGTGAGTGCCAGAGCTAAACAAATTCAGACCTCATTAGTATTTGGATAGGCTATTATGTGGTGTACTATAACTTTATGCCAGACTGGGAAGCATTTTGGAAGATGGCCATCACAGAATGGAAAATCAAATGGATGTGACATTACAATTACTTCAATTCTGCCAATAGACAATTTAATTCACATTTCTTTTTACTCGTCACAGAGAATTTCTTTCTTGGGTCAATCAGAAATAAGAAATAATGAAATGGAATTGCTTCCAGCTATTTCTGGTGTTATTGTGGAACATTAATGCTGCATTCTCAGTCTACATCTTAGTTTGGTGGAAGGATCTCTTAAACTTAAACAGCCTCTGTCATATCTGTGCTATTTATTGTTCTGGCTGTTTCAATCCATGCTGCCTGTTTATGTGTGTTTTAACTATTTTAATTATTTGGGGAATTTTGTAAACTATCCAGCATCTAAAGTAATGGAATGGGTGGCCATAACAAATTTAATAAATTGTGTTGATTTTTTTTTCAAGAAGTTACTTCCCATAGGGGGAGTTCATTATTAGTAGTGGAAGTTGCACCTTCACAAATTGTCCCCAAACAATGGCTGCCAAGTTATTCCTGCTGTTCCTTGTAGAGTGGGGGAGAAAAACCTTTTTAAAAAGACACAATTGCCACTACTAATAATGAATTCTCCCTATGAGAAGCATCTTCTTGAAAACATTCAACTCAATGCATTAAATTTCTTATGGCTACCAGGAGAAATGGCCAAAGAATAAGTCTATGCACCAGGTGATAGCTGGTAAAATGAAAAGGTTACATACAACTTTTTGACATATTGTTCTCTGTTAACTCACTCACACATATCATTATACAGTGTGAGAGCAAAACAAACAAACCTTTAAGAACCTAATTTATGTTAAAGTTTCATTTCTGGTTCCAAAGACTAAATAAATTATCATCATTTTTTTAAAAGGACAATACATATAAAAATATGTAATTTGGAACACTTTGGTGTAATGAGATATAAACAAGACTGGAAAAAATGGATTGACTATATACAAAATAAATACGGGACCAAGAAATTCCAGTTAGCCTATGCT